AGAGAGTCCAGAAATAAACCCTCACATTCACAGTCCATTGCTTCTCAGCAAGGATGCCAAGACACTCCAACAGGGAACCAAGAGCCTGTTCCCGAACTGGTGCTGGGACCATCGGATATCCACCTGCAGCTCACGGAGGCCGCTCCTCTCTCAGCCACACAGAGAAACGCGCTCGAGATAGGCCACCAACCTCAATGCGGGAGTGCAGACTGCAAAGACCGCTGGCAGGACATCAGGAGTAAATCGTGACCTTGGGTCCAAAAAACGCCTCCTTAGACCATCAAACACACAAACAAAGGAATACATAAACTGGACCTCATCAAAGTGAAAACCGTTTTCCCTTCAAGGACACCATCAAGAAAGTGAGATGATAACTCGAGATGGGGTGAAATGTATGCAAATTATATATCTGATGAGGAGGCGCTTATATCTGGAATAAAAAACTCTTGCAGCTTAATGATAAAAAGACAAATAACTGAACCGAAAACGAGCGAAGGATCTGGAGACATTTCTCCAAAGCAGATATCCAAATGGCCAAGAAGCACACGAAAAGCCGCTCAACGTCATTAGCCATCGCGGAAATGCAAATCAAAATGCCACTTTGCAAGGAAATTAAAAATATATGTTGACGCAAAATCTTGAACATGAATGCTCAGAGCACAACTATTCACAATAGCCCCAGAGTGGAAACAACCCCCTGGCCATCGGCTGGTGAATGGACAAGTAGAAGGTCGTCCGACCTACGCAGACGATTCCTCAGCCTCAGACAGGAATGAAGTGTGATACACGCTCCAGTATGGACGCACCTCGAGGCCATTATACGAAGTGATGGAAGGCACAAAAGAGCACACATTGTGAACCCCATGAACATGAAATGTCCAGGCAAATCCGCAGAGGCCGAGAGCAGGTTAGTGTTTGCCTAGGACTGGGGGGAGGGGGAGGGGATATGGGGTGGAGGGCAACGGCTAATGGGTACAGGGCTTCTTTGGGGCAATGAAAACCTTCTAAAAGTGGTTGCACAATTCTGAATATGCTGAAAACCACTGAGTTGTATACTCTAAATGATTGGAGTATGTGAATTCTATCTCAATAAAACAAGTTATTTTAAAAAGAAAACACAGGGGTGGGGGGCCACCAGATGCACTTAATAAAAATCCAGTAAAAAAAATGCCCTAGCTGCTTTGGCTCAGTGGATAGAGTGTCAGCCTGCGGACTGAAGGGTCCCAGGTTCGATTCCAGTCAAGGGCACATGCTGGGTTGCAGACTCCATCCCCAGTAGGGGTGTGCAGGAGGCAGCCGATCAATGATTCTCTCTTATCATTGATGTTTCTATCTCTCTCTCCCTCTCCCTTCCTCTCTGAAAAAAAAAAATCAGTAAAATACCCTGGGACAACCCCAGCTGTGCAGAGTTCATAACAACTGTTTCGGGGTGGGTGCTGTGTCCCTGGCCCCAGGGTTGGGAAGCATATGGTGTGCTTCGATGCCACCACAGCCTCAGGTTCCAAAATTCTACCTTCATGTGCCAGCCTCACTTGGAAGCCTGCAGAAGAGTGGCAGGAATCCTGAGATGGGACGTTTTACTAATGCCGATCGATACTTTGCGACTTCCGGTAGAGCAGAGAGGTGACGTGTGGTTGGGGCACTACCCCTGCCCCGCCACCGGCGCCGGGGTGGCCTAGGCAGGCGGTAGCACCTCTGGGCTTCCTTATCTGGCAAAGGGGGAATGGTGTGCCCGCCTAATGGAGCTGTTGTGCCGGCTCATTAAGCTAACTTATGAGGAGCTCAGCACAGTGCCTGGCGTATTAGTAAATGCTCAATGGAGGGAGACCCCTGTGGCTGGGAGCAGCGAGTGTGGGATTCAGAGTCAGACAGCGGTGACTCCTGCTCGGCTCCCTCCTGGCCCAGTTCCTGGTGTTGGCTGAATTGTTTCCCCCAGAAAAGATTTGTTGAAGCCCTAACCCCCAGTGCCTGTCGGCGTGGCCTGATTTGGAACTAGGGTCTTTGTAGGTGTAACCACGCTCAGAGGGGCCTATTCTAATGTTTTCACAGAAAAGACATTCTGATCTCGTCTTTCCTAGAAAGGACGTTCAGTACCAGACCGTCCTTGCCACAAGTGGAAACCTACCTGGATTTGGACTCCGGGCTGCTGGACTCCTGGTCCAGTGCTCCTTTCAGAGGGATTGAGAGGGGCCCTGGGTCGCAGAGGATGGGAGAAGGGGCACAGCCATGGGGCCTGGGGCACGGCTCGTTGTCCTCCCAGACTCCTACAGGCCCCGACGGAAAAGGAGCCCCACCTGACTGTCTGAGTTTTGGAAAGCCAAGTGCTCCTAGTGAGGCCTCGGTCCTACCCAGGTGAGGTCCCCTCTCTCTCCACTCGGCACCCCACCTCCCACCGCCCATCGCTTTCTGGCGTTTGAGTGACTAAAGGTAGGGATGGTTCCCTTGGGAGTTCAGAGTTGCCTGGTGGGACTGTCACTCAGGTGGGTGAGCCCCGGGAACTTTCAGAGCCTCTGCTCCCTCATGGGTAAAACGGGGGTGACCATGCCTGCCTCCGAGGGCTTTCGTGAAGGTCACACGGTTAACTGTGGGTTGACATTCAGCACCCAGTGCTGGGCACACAGACCGTGTTTGGTGGGACGTGGCCTTGAGTGTCAGCTGTGGGTTGGAAGAGCCCCCTCGGTGGTGACAGCTCTGCCCCGTGACGGTGGCCGAGAAGCCCTGTGCTTCGGTCTTCTGGTGGCACGGGGTGGGGGTGTCTGGGCCTCGCCACGTTTAATTGATTGTAACATCGCACCCTGAACACGCTCTCCCGCATGCCCTGCGCCCCAAGAAGAGCCTTGGCCATGCTCCTGTGACTGTGGGTAATGCGTTCCCGGGGCCCAGCATGCAGCTTTGAAATTGGCTTACGATTTATCTGCAGCTCGGATAAAAACATTTTAATGACGGCGTGCGGCACGAACCCTCGGTGTCCCCCACGGGGCTCCCAAATGTCTTTCCCCACCACATAGCGGGGCTGTTATAGGCGTGAAATTACAGCCACTCTCGAATTTTGATCTCTACCCAGAGGCCTCTGGAAACAGCGCGTTAGGATGTGCCGGATGCACACTCGGCGAGGGCAGACTGGGAAGCCGGCTCTGCAGCAGAACTGCTCGGAGCCGACAATGCATGTGGGGCCCTGGGCTGTGCCTGGCTCCCCATCTCCCCACTGACCTGGGGAGCTTCCCTTTGACCCCCAAATTAGCCAGGGGCGGGGCCATCTCGCACCACTGTTGGCTGCCATGGTCCTGAGGATCCCCCGGGGCACAAAGGAGACCCCACTCGCTAGGAGGTAGGGGGTGTGTGTGTGTGTGTGTGTGTGTGTATGAGACGCAATGTCACCGACAGGCCAAAACAATGAGGAGAGTTTAATGTTTGAAACCTGCCTTGACATATATTTAAAGGAGCCATGGAGGTGGAGGAGAGGGTGGCACAACTTTTCTCCTAATTGTGCCTGATTTTTGCTGACATGATTATGATTGGCTGAGACTATAAAGAGACACTATATATTGAACGCTGGAAATTGGCCTGAGCTCAGAGCATTCTGTTCTGCGGATTATCTCATTTTATCCTCCCACCCTTGGCCAAGCCACTCCATTCTCTGAGCCTGGGTTTACCCAATGGGCACAGTACAGTGCTTGCCTCGCAGCTGGCGTGGCCACTGGATTATAGGTCTGTACAGAAACCCCCTCATGCTGCACCCCCCTCCCCTCCCCATCCCAGCCCTCCCCTCCCCCTCCCAGCTGGTGCTGAGCCAGGAGGCCATGCCTCCTCCTGCCCTGCTGGAGGCCAGAGCGCTCCACCTGCTGCCATCATGGGAATCAATGTCCTCCTGGAGGTCTGGCCTTTGGAGGTTTTCAATTTCCCCTGAAGCCTCAGCTTTCCACGGCGCCTTTATGCTTCCATTGATTGCCCGCCCCGCAAGCTTTGTTTCCCTGATAAATACCATTTGATAAGAAAATGGGGGACACCGGAGCCCGGAGCTGAGACCACGACCCTAGCGTTCGGGAGGCAGGACATCTGTGCTGAAGGGGCTTCGGCCACCACTGGGCGCAAGGCCCTTGTTTTTACAGATGGGGATACTGAGTTGGGGGGGCACAGGCAGCCAGAGACAGGCCTGAGCATTAGCACCCCCACTTTGCGAATTAGAAATGGAGGCACAGAGCCAGGCCCAGAACCCAGGAGCCCCGACATGCAGTCCAGTGTGCTTTCTACTTCGTCCCTTGATGCACAAAGGCTTGGGAGGTCCAGGGAGGGGCATGCGGCCGGGTCAGAATCGTTCTTCCTGCAGCAGGTGTGCATCCATCCCGCCGAGACGATGTCTCAGACCCCCTGGAGGCTCCTGGGTTGTCCTCCCCGAGGAGCGCCATCCACTGCACTTCCCCACGGGTGTTTCTATGAACGTGGCTCTTGGCTTCGGCTTGGGAAAGGTGCCCTCGCAGCTGCTCCCACAGTGCCCTGTACCTCCCTCCCTGAGTCCTCACTGGCTTCCAGAGCCCGCATCTGCGTGGTCCATGAGGATCCATTCTTCCTGCATCCCACCCCATCTAACAGGGGACAACTGAGACCCGGAGACCGCGACAGCCGCTGACCTGTGGGAGCTCTGACTACACCCCCAGCTCCATTTGTTCCCATCCACGGTCAGAGCCCCTCCAAGGCGCCCGGCCCGTGAGGGCCCAGCGGTGAGGGCAGCTCTGTCTTCATGAGGTCAGGGTCTCAGTGCTGGTAGAGGAAGGGGGTCCAGAGAGGAAACCGTCAGGGGCAAGGACACACCGGTCACACCTCAAGGTCAAGGGTGGGAAAGGAGAAGGCCTGCTGGCAGCACAACAGGCATTTTAGCAGGTGGTGCCCGGGACAGCCCCTCGGTGTATGTGCACGTGAGCGCGCACACCCAGGCACACACATGCACACACGCACACACACAGCTCCTCACTGAGATGCCGGGGCCGAGGCCCTGCACTCACCCATGACGTTGAGAAAGATGTTGCCCGATGCCAGGACCACCTTCTCCCTCGTGGCGCGGTCGTAGATGCCCACGTGGCACTCGTAGGGACCGTTGTCCGAGACGCGGACCTCGGGCAGCCTGGGGGAGGCAGAGCAGCAGGGTGAGGGCCGTGATCTGGGGCTGAAAGGCGCCACCCCCAAGCCCCACTGTTCAGCCTTCGCTGAGCAAACGCTCCTGGATCAAGCGCACGCCAGCTGGGCTGAGAGGAGGAGCCACATTTATGGAACTCCGACTGTATGCGGCCTGTGCTCAGTGCTTCCGAGGGCGGGGGTGAGGCTGTGTTCAGCCGAATTAAATCTGTGCTCCTTTCAGCTTCATGAACTGGACGGCAGGGGTGCCCACCCGAGGGGGCCTGGGGATGACATGGGTCCGAGGCACCTGGCGTGTGGTACAGGCTCAGAACTGCGACCTAGCGCATCGCCTCCGTGGCCGCCCTGCACGTACGGATTGTCATCCCCATTTCATAAACGTGGAAACTGAGGCTGTAAGGGGGACAAAGTGGCTAACACGAGCTAAGGTGGGAATTTGAACCTGCCCTACTGTCTCTTTATGCCCAGATCTGGGGATTTGAGAAGAAACGCAGAATTCTTGTCTTCAGGGAGCTCGCCCCGTGGACGAGGAGGCAGGGCAGCCGATCATCGCTCCCAATTGCGTGGGAAAGGGTGGGCCAGTTGAGCACAGAGGGAGCAGCGGCTTCTGCCCCAGGTCGTCAGGAGGGCCTCTCGGAGGAGGTGACCCGTGGGGACAGGAGAGACCCATTCAAACCTTACTCCTCTAACAGTCCAGAGAGTAAATATTTTAGGCTTTGTTGCTTTTACAGTCTCTGTCCGTGTAGAATAAAAGCAGCTACAGACAGGGCCTGGGCAAATCAGTGTGGCTGTGTTCCAATAAAACTTCATTTATTGCCATTGACATTTGAATTTCAAATACTTTCTTGTGCCCTGAAATCTTCTGTTTTTGCTATTTCCCATCATTGGGGAAAAAAAGTGAAATACATTCTAGTTCACAGGCTGTTAAAAAACAACAACAGCTGGATTTGGCCCACAGGCTGTAGTTTGATGATCCTTCTTCTAGACCAGGGGTGGGCAAACTTTTTGACTCGAGGGCCACAATGGGTTCTTAAACTGGACCGGAGGGCCGGAACAAAAGCATGGATGGAGTGTTTGTGTGAACTAATATAAATTCAAAGTAAACATCATTACATAAAAGGGTACGGTCTTTTTTTTTTTTTTAGTTTTATTCATTTCAAACGGCCGGATCCGGCCCGCGGGCCGTAGTTTGCCCACGGCTGAGCTAGATCCTTCTTCAGGGTGTGCTAAGAATGGGTTGCTATGCGGTTCTCTCTCCCTGTGGAAAATGCCGGCAGGGCGGCTCTCTCCTCACTCCTGCGTGGGAGACCTCTGTCTCTCTCTGAGCCTCCGTTCTCTCATCTAAAATATGGGGCTGATACTTCCCAGGACCTCAGTGAGGATTAAATTAGACGCAGTCCCAGCCAGACCTCTGTAGGCACGAAAGTGGCCTTGAGTGGAGAGGCACTGTCCCCTGCCGTCCCTTCATCCTGCGATGTCCCGAGAGCCTGACCTGGAGTTAGAGGCCACTAGCAGCTGCATCAGGAAATCTGTGTGTCCTCCCGCCAATTCCAACCTTATCTGGGTGCAGTCACACAGCCAAAAGGGGGTCTATTCTGGCCCCAGCTTAGAAGTGGGGTCACGTAGTTGCCTCTTAGAGGTTCTCACGCTGCAGCAGGAAAGTGGGGGAAGAAGCTCAAACTTACAAACGCCTAGTAAATGCCGAGCGCATTAAACTGGCCCAACAGTCCCGTCAGAGAGCCCCCCTGGGGGGCAGTGGCTAAGAGCACAGGCTCAGGGTGTCCGTCCCAGCCCTGCCACCCTGAGAAGGGAGGCTCCTCAGTCCAGTTCTTCGCTCCCACCCATGGTGGACACATTTTCCACGGTTCCCGGCTAAGCCTCTCTCTCCCCCATCTGCTTCTGCTGAGCAATCTAACCTCAGATTTACGCCTTCCTCCTCTTGTTTCTGCTGTACCCCCGTTTTTGTCTTCCAGCTCCATTTCCTATGATTCACTACCCCCCCCTTCCCCCTCGCCACCCCACACCTGGGCCCCAGCC